TCTTTAAACTCCCTTTAAATCTACACAACAGTCTGCAATTTGCAACATTTCCAATAGGGTGAGAAAATCTGCAGCCTTAATGCAATAAACTTGGTAACATCCTGGAATACATTCTGCTTCTCTTGGAGACCCTGAGACCAAGGAAGGGTATTGTAATATCTGAAAACTTGTCTAAATTTATCCCACTCATGCAGCTGGTCCAATGCACAATATCACCCACATAAATTCTTGCCTCTTGTCCTTATCACGGACCATTCTAATCCTTGCACTGCTCTGTCCCTTTCCTTTTTTCACCCAAATGTAGCTCCTATTATTTCTAAACTCTTTCTCTGTACCTGTGGATTACAGTGGTTCCACTTTCAGAAAATGACTGAGTAGGCCTTGCCAGATTGCTTGACTATAATAGGCATCAGTGAAATATCTGCAAACAGCTTATGAATTTGCCTAGTGCATACCAGTTTCTGGATCATTCTGGACCACTTAGTTATGTGTGTCTACAGAGTATAAACACAGTGGGTGGGGGCATTCATCCAACACTAGTCTCATTTATGATACCAGAGTTGGTCAGTCAACTATGGCCCAGCTGAGCCTATTAGGATTAAGGAATGCCAGCTTCCATAGACAACTGCATACAGGGGAGTGCTATGGTTTACATTCACATCTGGCAACCTTTGACTTCACTCCCAAAATGACCAAGTATCAATTTACATCTGGATCAACTACAGTAAGCCTTTGGGACTAGTCCAGAACCAGGCTCGGACTCATGCCTCTGAAGTTATAGTGAGACACCTTAAACGCACTATTATCATGGCCCTTACTATCACAGTACAAATGATAAATAAAAAACAAAAATGTTTGCTAGCCAGTGGCAAAATTAATATATCGAGTGTGGATCTAATTGGTCAGACCTTTAAATCCCAGATGAAGTCAAAGAGAACCTAATTTCTAATCTAATTAAAAATGGTTCTGTTCAATTCCAAAACATGGGGTATAGTACCTACTTGTTTTAACAAAGAAACTGGAGACAGAAGCCAAGCCATATCTGAGTAAAATTGAGCCCTGATTTAGCCTGATTAATTTCAATAGCATTACACCAGAAATGTCCTGGGCTTTACTGGGTCAAGATCAAAGTAATGTCATAAAAAAGCAAACTAACTGAAAGCTTCTATGTGACTTACCATTTATACAACTAATGTACTGAAGATTTACAAAATATTGTATTTGGCACCAGTGAAAAATGAGACAGACAGGAAATATGATCACCTTATTTATGCAAATTCAAGATGAGTTTGAATTTAAGATGACCCACCCCACAATAATTAGATTCTATACATGGAAAATTTATAAATTTGTTATAATTCTCTATGTATAGAATCTAATTATTGGAGCATAACCTTAAATTCATCTCCCCCACTGCTGCAGCAGGGCAAGCAACACTAGAAGTAGGCAATGGGAGAGGAGGGTGAGTATCAAGTGGCCTGCCCCCTGCCCCTTGTCCTCCTCCCACTACTTGCTCCTTTGCTGCTTGCCTCCCCCACCAGTGCCTGTGCACCCCAGCCCATCTCCTGCCCTACAGTTTCTGCCCTTCCCAAGGACCTGTTCCTGCTATCACTTGCCCCCTCTCCCTCCTGCCTCCCCCTAAGCTTGTACTCCACTGTCAGCTGTCCCCCCAGAGTTTATCTTCTGCAGCTCCAGAGCGTACTCCATGGTTACTTCAGCCCCTGCCAGGCCTGACTGCAGCAGTTGAAGCTCCAGACCCAGCAGCGGAGCTGGAGCCAGGATGGGAGCTCCTACCACCACTGCCACCTAACCCCAACTATGACTTACCTCCTAAATTGTTTTTATATATATATATATATTACACACACACATACTAGTATATTGCCCATCAAGAATGATGGCGGTGTGGGGTGGGTGGGGATGGAGCGCTGCCACCCACCAACCCGTGGTGCCACGGCCTCCCAGGAGCAGGGGCGGTGGGGAAAGCTTGCCCTGCCATCCTCTCATTCCCCTCCAGTGCCGCTGGCCTCACTCCCTCCTCCCCTCCGGCCCTGCTCCTCAGCGGCAGCAGAGCACTGCCATGGTGGCGGGGATGGAGTTAGCGGGGGGCAAGGCCTGCATGCGAGCCTTGTCCTCCCGCTCCATCCCCTCCATCATGGCAGCACTCCACCATCTCCGAAGAGCAGGGACAGGGGTGGGGGGTGGGGGGAGGTCAGCACCTGCTCTGTCCCTGCCATCACGGCGACACTCCGCACTCCAATTGGTTGTTTCACTAACCACAGTGCTCCAAAAGCGTTACAGACAGACAGACAGACAAAGACCTTTATTATATAAGAATTTTTTTAAAAGATCTCGAATGTACATACATTTAGCAGCCATCAAGATTTGTATTGTATTCTGGCTGTTGGAAAGCTGAAGAATACAGCCATGGTTGGGCTGGGACCAGGTCAACCATGTTCTCTGTGCCGTGGGCCCAAGCAGGATGGCAGCTGGAGCCATGGAGGGTAAGCAGTTGTGGAGGGAGGAGACGGGGAGCCTGGGGCAGAGGCTGTGAGAGGCAGGGGGTGGGCACGAACAGTGGCTGTGCTCCACCTCTGACCCCAGGTTGGGGCTGGAGTTGGAGCTGCAGCAGCTGCCTGCCTCTGCTAGTCCTCAGCTTGTATTCAAATCAAAGATGAGGGGCTTCCCTCCTCCCCACCCCCCCATGTTAAATGGTGAAAAAAAAATAGAGGTTTGAAGGATTTATTCTGAAGTCATTTACACTTGTTTGAATTGGGTGTAAAAAGATGACCAAATGAGAATTCTTGATTAATTCTAATTGTAAAATATCACTCCTACTTTGCATAGACACAACTATTGCACAGGAGTCAGGCAATGGAGAGTTAGGCAAGTTCTTCAGATGTTGGATTGGCACATAGAGTTGATTTGATTCTGAAGAGCTCCCCTGCCCGCAATAACAGAGTTGGATTACATATAGGATGTTTTTAAAAATTACCATGAGTTGAAATCTAGAGCAGTGGTTTTCAACTTGTGGTCAGCAGACCCCCTGCCCTTTGGGGTCCACAGACTATGTATAAGGGCTCCACAAAAGATGACTATGATTAATCAAAAGTATGTGAATACCCACACTTACCATTCAAAAGGGTCTGCACCTCCATTCCAACTTTCTAAAAGGGTCCACAAATGAGAAAAGGTTGAAAACCACTGACCTAGAGGACTGGAGAAAGTAAGTTTGCCAGGTATTAAGCAAAGCATTTTTGTTTTATATGTTAGGAACAAATATACAATATTAGTAAGCCAACAACAGGAATGTTTAGAATGGGTTCAAGAAATTAGACAGGTTATTCCTTTAAACATTTAAATAAGATATCCATACTAGTGATGGTGCATTATCAAATTTTGGAAAGGAATTAGTTTAAAGTTTAAGTCACATATCTTGTTTAAATTTAGTGTGATTAGGGCTTTTAAGTATTTAATGGTAGTGTGAGACATTTTAAAGAGAAGATTTTAGATTCAATTTACTGAGGTAAAAATTAGGAATAACATTTCCTACATTGCTTAAAATTTACTTTAAATCAGATCTTTCATTACAGAGCATTCTTTTTGTATTGCAATTTGGACCCTGCTTAGCAGTATGCCAAATACCATCTACAGTACCTGTTTTCTAGGATTGGTGGTGAACATGTGAGCAGTCTCATGAGTACAAAGGAGTGTTTACCCTGGCCCATACTTGGCTTCTGTGCACACTTTTGTCTCAACCTCCTCCACATTGCATGATGCAATTATATAATTCTCCAGCTTTCCAGCAGCTGGAATACAACACAAATCCTGGCTATTGGTAGATGTATACCTATTCAAGATCTTTTCTTTCTTTTTTTTTTTTCATATAACATTTTCAGATTTGGGTTCTGAGGTAAGTCATAGTTAGGGTTTGGTTTGGTTTGGCTTGGCTTGGTTGTAGAGTTCCAGATGTTACTGTATTTTCTTTTAATGAAGATAAAGTTGCATGCATGTGTGAGACAGCCCAAGAGGAGGACTGCCCTTGGGTGGAGACCTTGCTATTACACCTCTGCATTATAGGGAGTTGCCATTCAGATTTCTCTTTCATGGACAGGACGCTTAAAGCAGGAATAAAGGAGTGGGTTAAGTTCCTGTGAAAAACAGGTTTATCTGCTTACATTTATACAGTAAGTACAAACCCATTTTGTCTTTTGAAACAGGAATTTACATAAATTTGCTTTGCCCTGCTAAGGATTCAGTATTAGGCATTTCTTTTAATGTTTACAAATACCTTGGTTTGCTATTTAAATGGAAAAAAAATCTTTTAACAGAGGGGGAAAAAAGTCTTCCAGATGGATGATGCAACACTGTAATCCCTTTAAACGTGAACATATAAATTAACTTTCTCTGATGGCATTGTTTCTCCCAGGGCACTCTCTGAGGTAGTATTTCTCCATATTCCTCCCAAATGGTGCTGTAAGCCACACTTCAGTTCTAAATGTTCTGTTTTTTCAAAGGTTTACTAAACAGTACAGTATGTGAATTAAAATAGACTGAGAAAAGGGAAACTTTGGAAATATGAACTGCAATACCAGAGCAGCCAATGAACTAAGATCCTGTGTAGTAGTGACCATACCGAGTGCTTTAGATTGAAGAAAGAACAAGAAACCTTACAACAGACAATTATAGAACTGACCAACCAATAAGAGAAGTTTCTTCGTAGCTCTGTCAGGTAGTGATTGTTTCTGTCCTGAAGCAAGAAAATGTATATCCCTCATAAAACAAATCACCATCCATAGGTATGGCTCATACCTTCTTGAATCCTGTTAATTCTCTTGTCTCAACTTCTATTTCACCTGACAGTCAAACAGCAGATAGATACAACTAAACACATTTCCTTCAACTCCAGAATTATAAGGCAGGAAAATTCACATTCTAGTGAATGCACAAAAAAAAAAAGGATTAAAAATTACATGTTAAATGTATTTTTCCCCCTTCAGGTGCTGTTTTAAAAGAATAGCCTTTGACCAAGAATAAAAATTGTCGTCAGAATAATATGCGAACAGGTAAATTCTAGTAAGTTTATTTTTTATTAATGTGTTTAAATATATTTACAATTCACTGAAGTCCACTGATTCCAGCTGCTAGTATTGGACTATTAAGCTTGCTCCTGAAAGCAACTCCACACCCAGGGCAATGGACAAGTACTTGGCAGTTAGTAACACCTACAGCTTCCCTAAGGAAGGATTACATTGGCCAATCTTAATGCATCTCTTTAACATTGGGATTGGCTGGCACATGGCCCAAAGCTTTGTATAAATGAAGAAGGATGATGTAAACCTTTTATTTGCTGCCTTCTAACAATTTTGAATTGTTTTATTTTTGGTTCACAGGATATCAAACTTAGGCAGTGTTTGATGGTTTAGTTTCTGACTTGGAGACAAATAAACCAAAGTTGTAAGCAGCAGCGGTGGATAAGGTTCTAGGTACTACTAAGAGATTTTATAGTTGTTGTTTGCCTTTTTTCAAAGACAGGACACTCAGATCCAAAGTTTTCAATGGATACAGACAAAGATGTAAAAGCAGTTTTGCATGCATTGGACCTGAATATGTGCACACAGAACGTAATGTTGCAATTACCTCTGACACTGAATTCCTTATAGCACTAACTTGGAGTGGTTCAATGTTCTTTAATCTTGGTTCAAAAACACAGACTCTTTGATCACCTTCCAGAAATGTTTTTGACCTCATTTTCTTCTCTCAGCAAGTGAAGTATTTGATCAAAATAAAAAAATGTACATGTTGTAGAATTGAATAGGTCAGTAGAATTTCTACAGAGAAATTAATTTGGAAATTTATTGACAATGTCTATTTTTAAATTGATTTTTAATCTACATTGATCTTGAAAATGTTTTGCCCATCATCACGTATCTTCCATAGCAATCTTTTCTATCGGTTATGGTTATACTAATTCAAACGTTGCATATATTTGCCTTTCAGAGAATACAATTTGCATTTTTAGATTAAAAAAAGGTACTAACTTCACTCATAAGATAACACAGTGTGGCCTTTTGAAACCAAATACAAACTGCCACATATACACATTTAACCGAATAAAAAAAAAAAAAAAAAAAAGATAGTGATTCAGGTTGGACAAGTTTATTTTGGCAGCAGAGCACAATACCAGATGAACTGGCAGGTCTGGTTGCACACCTCTAAAAAAACACTAATCTCTTAAGAAAGTGGCAAACTACACTACATCCTCCCTTATACTAATGTACCTGGGTCCCTAGCTCTGTTACAATACATGCTGATTTTCATGCAGTACTTGTATTTCACTGGATCTTTGGCTGTAAACTTAATGGAAAAATCTTGCCCTGTAAAGTGGAAAAGAAAAGATTGCTGTGTGTTAGATTTTGGTCTAAACCATGTCAGTGAAATGAACATGGCTTATATTAATTGTAATAATTTACATTTTACATTTTAATATTTACTGTATTAAATAAAACGTAATTAATAAAACGTGCGAGCCATTTTGCAGTGTCACTCTGGATACTTTTAATAAACAGCAGAGGAAATAGTTATTTGCCCATACTGGAATGAGAGAAAAGTACAGATGAGTTCATAACAGAACATTTGACTGAGTCAGATGTAGGAAGATATTCTCTAAAGACTCAGCTTACCGGCAAACACTTTAAACAAGTGAGAACTAACATTTTTCCTTATCATTGTAAGTGTTAGTTCAGAAAATGTATAATATAGTGGCAAGCTCTGAAGACCTGCTTTTCTTGCCCTACTCCGACTTGCCCCTTCTCTCCAGATAGGCTGAAACTAGAATTCCTGAGGTATTTTGCCATGGAATGGAGACGTAGCTTAAGGGACTGAGGAGAAGACAGTGGCATGGGTTTTAAACAGCGTAGGTTGTAGCCGTGTTGGTCTAAGGACATTGGCAGGCAAGGTTCTTTGGGTAAACCCAATATCTTTTATTAGACCAACTCAAATAGTTGAAAAATTCTTCTTGGCAAGCTTTCGGTCAAACACCCTTGGTCAGGCTGAGGAAGTGTCTGCAGATAGTCTGTGCTCTTCCTGGATGGAGTGACAAAGAAAGAAAGCCAGTCAGTTAAAATGTAAATTGAGGTCGTAAGTAGGTGAGAGACAGGCGGGGGGGGGGGGGAAAGGGGGCATGAATGTAGCTGTAGTCAAAGGATGGGAGACAGGAGGAATGGGGGAAGAGAATGAGAATAGCTGGTAAAAAGTGGATGGTTTACCTGGGAAGTCAGATGTTAGGCAGGTTACAATGCGTCATAAATCCAATGCCTATATTTAGTCCATGATTTTTTGTATCCAGTTGATTGATGAAGTGAAGTTCATAGGCTCATCTGTGAAAGGTATTACCTATGACGAGCCTATGAACTTTACTTCATCAACCTACTGGATACAAAAAATCATGGAGTAAATATAGACATTGGATTTACTTATGAATACAGTAAAAAGAAGCTACAACTGGGCTACACTGGTTTATTTCAAAACAGTAGAGATGAAAAATGTAAATCACAATACCCATTTCTACAATAGTGTCCTTTGTATAAACCAGTAAGTCAGATTTTTCTATACATAAACAATAGGAATTCAGCTGTCTCATTTTCAGATACTGCTAGAAATAACAGTGAAAACACCACCTAAAGTGATATCAGAAACTTGAGAATCATGTGTTGTCACAAACCCATTCTATTCCTGTTTTAAGGGAAATGTTGGAGTTTTATAAGTAAGGAGTTATAAAATAAACTTGTGTATGTATATACACATTATCTACATCTATAGCTATATAATCTTATCATATAATCAAACACACTACAGACCCCCACACCAAGGGGAAGAACTAGATTTGGGGCTCCTGAGGCAGCTCTCAGAGACCATAAAAACTAAGGAGGCGGTAGTCATGGGGGACCTAAACTACTCAGACATCTGCTGGGGGAGACAGACAGCAAAGTACCACCGTTCACGCACGTTCCTATCCTGTGTACAGGACCTCCACCTGACGCAGGAGGTACATGGTCCCAGGAGGGGGAATGCCTTACTGGACCTGGTATTGGCAACGGGGGATGATATGGTAGGGGACCTACAGATTGGTAGTCACCTGGGGGACAGTGATCACCAAATAATAGAATTCACCATAAGACATCAAGTGGGAAAGGTAACTAGTAGGGTGAAAGTGCTAGACTTTAGGAAAGCTGATTTCAATGAACTCAGGCGATTAGTCAAGGATGCACTGCGGAGTAGGAGTTTTGAAGTGATGGGAGCCCAGGAAGGGTGGCTGTGCTTTAAGGAAATGATCCTTTGGGCACAGAGGGAGACAATCCCGACGTGAGGAAAAAGAGGGAAAGGGGCCAGAAGGCTTCCTTGGCTGACCAGAGAAATCCAGAGCAGCCTGCGGACTAAAAGGGGAGCATATAAAAAGTGGAAACGGGGAGAGATTACCAAAGAGGAGTATACCTCCTCTGCT